TCGACGAGCAGCAGCGGAGTAGGTCATCGCTTGTGGTTCGTAAGATGCTTCCGAGGGCGTAGAATTCCCCAGTGCTTACTGAACCTCTTCGCGGACGACGTCAGTGAGGGAGGCGACTTGGGGCTGCGCCGTTGCTGGGAACAATTTCCTCAGTTCCTCGCGAACGACGGCACGGATGGTCTCCCGCAAGTCTTCCGTCGCCAATCCAGGGGCGTTTACCGGGTTCACCGAAAGGGTGTTGAGTGGTCTATCGTATTGCCGCGAACGCATATCCAAGGTCCTCTCGATCATCAAAGCCTCGGTGACGAACTCAGCGACGGTCTTAGGGGGGTTGCGGATGAGTCCAGCGAAGAGCTCTTGTTTAACTCCCGGCATCAGAAAGCGCACCTTCTTTTCTTCTGCCATTTCGGGGTCAGCTCTCTGGAACAGCATCTTCATCTCCTCAGTGAACAGTACAACACCTTCGTTAGGGTGTTGCATTCGCGTCTCCAACAAAAGGGCGGCTCGTTCTTTCCGCACAACCGTAGCGAATGTTTTGAGGAATTCGCTCTTAAAGACAGTCCAGTCGGTTAGGGAGCCTTCATGGTTCTCAAACCACGTTCGAGCTGCGTCCTCCAAATAGAAGAAGACATGACGAAACGTTTCTTCGTCATCCCACCTGTTAAAGATGCCGATGCGCTCCAGCTTCTCCCGCCACTCTTCCGGGTCTTCACCAGGAGATCCTCAGAATGATGGGGGCTCACGAGGTTGTTGCAGAACGACGGGAGGGTGGGTAGCGCTGGTCATGGTGCCTGCGTTGATCATCGTGGTTTTTACGTCTTCTTTCCTCTTTTTATCCGGGAGCAGTCCGAACTCTGGCTAAAGGCCTTGCTGTCGGCGGCTGACACGCGTTGGGTGTGCTTGTCGTGTTGGGCTTGCTTGTCGGCTTGGCAATGGTTTAGGGTTCATGTACCCCGCACCTCCACCAGATGTCACGCAGCAAAGGACGACGCAGTTGTCTATAAGGAAAACAAGTTTATTGGAGCAAGCTTGTGCTCCCCTAACAACTGAAAGAATACACAGGCGGCGAAGCAGCGGTCGGCAAAACGACGTGCACGCTAGTGAGCGTCGGCGATCGAATGTCGCGGCATCGGCTGTGCGGGAATTTATATCTCTCAGCGCGAGCGTTTCTCGAATAGTCGAGTTGTATCGAGAACGCTGTGATAGAGTTTGTTCGAAACGATGTTTGTTCGGAACGCTCAAAACGCTGTTTGACAGCGTTTGTTCGAAACGCTGTGAAAACAGTGATAGCACAGGCCGGCATAGCCAGGCCGAAAAAGCAAAACACAAATGAACAAACCCAATGCATGGTTCGCGGCAATATCATCTGCGTACATTAATGCTGGTAGTGCCTGATCAATGAGTTTTCCTTGTTTGACTAAAGAGAGGTTGAAGCCCAGTCCACTTCCCTCTAATTTGGCCTCTAATCCTTGTAGATACATCATGAATAATAAGGGTGACAGGGGAAACCCCTGCCTAAGCCCCCGTTTTACCTCTGCAGGCTTGGATACCTGTTTTTCCCACTTTATAACTACCTTGTTACCTTTATAGATATCCTTTAAAAGATTAGTGACTACATGTTCTACGCCTAGTGCGTCCAGTATTCCCCACAATTCCTCTTGAACCACACTATCGTACGCTCCCTTCATATCTAAAAATGCTAGCCACAGGGGCCTGTGTTTCTTTTCTGCTATTTCTATGCACTGCATCACTGAGAACACATTGTCTTCCAGCCTCCTGTATTTTCGAAACCCATTCTTCAGTTCTCCCAGCACCCCCTCATCCTCTATCCATGCCTGCAGTCTTTCCTTTATAATCTGCATCGCCAGCCTGTAGACCACTGATGTGACTGTTATGGGACGGTAGTTGTTTATGTCAGCTTTGTCCCCCTTTCCTTTATAGATCATGCTCATCCTGCTAAGTTTCTATCCATCGGGAACTTCCCCATCGATTATTAGTTTGCTCACTGCCTCTCTCAAAGCCTGCTTAGACTTCGGACCTAATGTCTTTATCACCATAATCGGAATGCCATCTGGACCTGTTGATGTACTACTCGGATCCCTTTTCTCAGCCCTTTCCCACTCACGTTGTGAAAATGGAGCCATTGCACCACTTGGTTCGTCCTTGTCTATTGTGGTGCATAAAGCACTTCTTTGTTGAAATCTTTCTGTCACCCTTGTTCTTATATATTCAATAGCTTCGTCCACTTCTAGCCTAGCACCTTGGGCTGTAGTTATAAACCTCTGCTCACGGCTCGTCTCATTTCTTAGGGAGTTTAGATGGTTCCAAAATTTCGCAGCTGCCTTTCTATCTTTTTTATGTACTTCTGCCAGCCACTGAGCTGCTTTTCTTCTAATCTTTTCATTGATCAGAAGGGATGCATCGCTTCTACAGCTTAGAAAGGTTTCCCATTTTCTTTCAACTACATCTGTCCGTTCACCCTGCTGCTTAGCATGTCTGTGTTCCCTAGAGGCTTTCTGACGTTTTGCTATGGCTCTCTTAACTTCCTCATCCCACCAACTTTTGGGTTTGTGTCTTCTTTTCCGGGGTGACTTGTCACACGTCTTAGCAAGCTCTAGCTCAAACAGTCTAATTAGATTCGTGTATGTCCTCACTGTCTTATTATCCTCCGTGATACTTTCTCAATTTGTTTAGTGGCTATTTCAATTTGCCTTTCTGAATAAAAATTTTGCTGTAGTTGCTCATCTTGTCTCCTTCCCACTTTCACTGCTCTTCCAAAACTTAGCTCGATACGTTTGTGATCGCTACCCAGACTTCTGGAGCCACCTTCATCTATGTGCATTCCTTTGAGCTTATCATACATTCTATGTGACATCAGTGACATCATCTATCGTCGACTGCAGCCTTCCTACCTCCCATGTTATTTGCCCTTCACACTCCTCGGTACTGTTGCAAATGATCAAATCAAGCTTTTCACACATATCCATGATCATTTTGCCTCAAGCAAAGGCCAGGGAGGAAAACCGGGCAATGGTAGAGTGTATATGAAAGGACATTCGAGAGTTAGGAAGAGAGTGCGAGATAATTATACTAGGAAGCATGAATGCGCACATAGAAGATATAGATGGGTATACTGACCCGACAGGCAGTATACCCATCCATTTTTTCCTCGACCTCACATTGCCTACACTTCGCGTCAGCCTCTTCTTTATCCGCTTCTACACTTGGGTCCACTTTCAAAACCACTCCGCATCTTGAACACTTTACAGTCTTTTTGACCGTGTCTTTCTCACACCAATTGTCCCTATTCTCGATAAATACTAAACTCGAGCCCTGCACTACGAAAAAGAAAGAAAGTCTAAGCTCTACTACAAAAGTTTGCGTGTTCAATGTACGCGCAACTCCCCCACGGGGTGGCAAAAGGAAAAAAAACAAACCCAACAAAAAATTTCAAATACACACACCCGCACTAACTAATAAATACTTGGTGACTGGCCCCCGAAAAAGCCGTATCATAAAATAAGTGCTACGAAGATTTCAACTGCTGCCTTATAATTATAAAGACAACCTCAAAACATGCAAAAACACTTATCTGCGCAGTCGATCCGGAGCGCTCAAAAAACACGTCCATCCATTGTGACAGCCCAAACCAAACTCCATTGGTGAACGTCCAGTGGTGAAGGCGTCTCCTACCGGGGAAAAGGCACGAAGACAACAGCGATCATCTTTGTGAAGCAATGAACCCGGCTACGCTTCGCCACGAAAAACCTGGTCAGAACCGTATTCCGAGTCCGGACAAAATTTACTATGTCCATCAACGTTCTAATGGCAAGCTATTCATATCTACCAGTAAATGCTGCGCACTGGCATCTCGGAAGGAACTATCGTGTTTTCAGCATTACCAGCAAAAGGGCGCAATGAGCGCGCGTCGCCACGTCGCGCGGCAGCACGTACTCCATGCGTACTTTGTACCGCTTAGAAGAGGAGAATGACGCTCCCTCGGGCGCCCTTATCTCACAGTGTGGATGAGGGAAAGATCGTACATTTCGGCAGGGCTCGTACTTTACATTGTTGTAGTTACAGGGCGCACAAAGGTCACCGTAATCATTGCAGTATCCGTTTGCGAAAAGTGTGCGCTTTTCAGACACAGCGAAGTAACTACTGATATGCTTATTCACGTGCATCTATACCTGTAAGTACGTTTCGTGCGTAAATTATGCGTGAGAAACGCGAGGGATGTTTCGATCTGCTCTTCATTCTGCACGTGACCTTCTAATTTGTTCTATTTGATTATTTATTTATGATACCTTACAAGCTCAATGAGAGCATTGAGTAAGGGGGGTACAAACTTCAAAGAGTAATAGGACGGTCATCAATAACATGGAATACACAGAAAATAACACAACATCGTGACAAAACGTGTCTGGTCACTGACACTCAAACAAATCTAATACGCGAATGTTTACCGATATGCAAAAAGCTTGAATAACAAGAAATTCAAGGTACATGAACGAAATACAATAAAGAAATTCGGAAGGCGTAGCTATAGAATTCAAGTGAGCAGCAATGGCGGTGCAACTGAGCAACAAAAACTGGGAGAATAACAAGAACTGGGAGAACAATGGCAATAAAAAACAACATACACACGCATTTTCTAAACACACATACTGCTAGCCGTACGAAGGCATTCACCAATATAAATTGCAAGACAACATTGGGTACAGCAAAAATTAAAGAGAACCAAAGAGAAGTGTGAAACTAGGTGAGTGGCACAGCTGCAGGTACAAACATCAGTGAAGTTAGAGCGATTAGTGCGATGAAAAATGATGACACACATGTTCGCGAAAAGAATATGGATCGGTGATGGAGGCGCTATCGTGTTCATCGCTTCACCCTTGCAGCAAAGTTGTGACTTTTTTTGTTTTTGGAGAGCTAGGGTTGAACCGGGACTTTCACCGCTATACCGTTTTCAACAATGAACATTTATTCCTTCTTTCCAGGTGGTCCCTAAGAAGCGCCGCATCGAGCAGAGTATGCATCCTCGAGCAGCTCCCGGCACCAAACAGGCCAGGACAAAGCAGCTCACCCTCCCCCAGATGATGCGCAAGCTGCCTTGAGATTATTTACACAGGCTTAGTGTAATAGTGCGAAGAAAACGCTGATGTGCATTATCCTAAACGACCAATAAAGTTTACTGTACGTATGGTATTTTTTAGTTTCAGCGTTATTGTGTTAACGTGGGTTACATGACGCGTGTGAAAGGGCGGCAATTTCGCATCGGATGATTGTGTTATAGGTATGTGGCTGAGCTTGCCTTTAAGTGCTTTTGAGGGCTAATCGTTAGGAATAACTTGGAGAAATTTTCAAGATCGCTTTCCTTTTTAAATCTTCTTGGGCGTAGCAAGATCATCGGTGTGAAATTTTTCTTTGTGGTGCGTGGTTTGCAGTTCTTTACTTTAATTATTCGTAAAAAAAATGTACCAAAGTTGCTGCCTGCTGAGAATAAAACAAGCATTTCCAGCTTTTTATTCTTTTCTGTTCTAATGCAGTCATGTTTAAGTAAATTAGGTGGGTGTCACAACTTGGCTATGTGAATGGTATCCCGCTATACTGAAATGCTCTGTTCATAAGTAATGTTTGCGGTGTGGCAACCATATTTTCTTGACCCCTGCTATCACGCTATACTCTGAAAACTCTAGTGTCGTTAATATTGCAATCATAAGTTTTTATATAAGAGAAAGTCAACGTTGGAAAGTCATTTTTGGAAGTTGCGCCTAAATCTAGGCGCGCGAGTTTAGGAATTTTTAAGTGTACTTGCATTTTGTCAACATTGGCTCATCCAAATCTCCTAGAATTTAGTATGTAACGTTCCTGGTCACATTTAATTCTTAATACTCTAGGCCCTCGCGGTCTGTTAGAGTGTTGGGAGTACACAATATACAATAATAAATACAATACTCTGTTCAAGTCAACTTCCAACGATGCTGAAAACTTTCAGCTGACTCAAAATATCAAATAGACTGGAACCGAGCTTGTTCGAGTCAATAATCATAGAGGCAGAAAGGAACACTTGAACACATCGATTATCATGGCATAAGGTAAAATAACATACGAATGATTGATACGCAGTAATACGTGAGCTGGGGGGTGTATTGGTCGATCTATGTTTAGTTTAGAGTATACATTTATTACAGAAACATTTAGCCATGCGTTATGTCTTCGCCTAGATAGCTGTTGAAGCTTAGCCCTGTTATGTAACAGGGTCAATGATTGCGCCAGCTGCTAGCAAGAAGAAACAAACCTGGCTGCCGTTTGTTTGATCTTTTCTAGCTCATCAACAAGCTTTTGACCATGTGGGTACCATTTATTACTGGCATTTATCTAGGGTTGGAGGTACTAGTGTTCTTTAAGCCATCAGTTTGAACTCGGACTTAGCATGTCTTCGCTTTCGCCGCAGAACAAGCAGCTTAGACTCAGGCGAATAACCAATATTTTCAATATGCTTGTTCCAGGTCAGATTGTAAGTAATTGTAGCGCCGAGGTATTTTATCTGACCAGGTCGCTTAACTTCATCATTTTTTATTTCCTATCCAGCTTTCAGGGACACCTTGACTTACTGTATATGCTACCTTTGGGTAGCAGAGTTGCGCCAAGCTACGCCATCTTGGGTTCAAAAAACTTGCGGGAAAGCCACTCACCTCCCGCTTAAGAGCAGCGGTCGTGCTTCAGTGTACTAGCGTTGCTTTATTTATTTCTTCGCTTTCTTTGTATTTTTAAGAAGGTACGAGCTTTTGTTCATACCTTCATAAAAAAATCTGTTGTTCCAATCAGTTGTTCCAGTTGTGCCCAGAAGCATTGATTTTCTGTTAACGTTGTTGATACATAATAACAAAACAAAGTGCATCGGCTTGCTGAACTTGCGAGATATACATTTGTATTGGTGACACATTAGCTTCGTCTTTTTTCCTTTGTTTTTTTTTTCCATTCACAGCTATGAAAATATTTTTTTTCACTTTCTATCGTGATCGGGCCAGTTAGCAGTAGCTTTTTTTGGTCGCGTTGAGTCATTCGCCAAATGTGTGAGAAATCCAGATATAGATTTGAGGTGTTCAATTGAATCAAGCGGGATAGCGATCGAGTGTAGGCGTGCGAGGCCCGCGTTACAGGCGGCTCTCGTATTACGCTCGTGTTACAATCGCGGCTTACGACAGATGATTTGAATCGTTGTTTAACAGCCCCGTCGCGTCTAGCATTTCTTTCGCTGAAGGTTTTTTTTAGTTCATGCGCTTTCAGCAACACCTTGCCTGTTCTGTTCACTTGGGCTGCATGTAGTACAATTCAACACAGAATGCACATTTCTCGCGACCAACATGCAGCACAGGTACAGTACTGAAGAAGCACGGCGAAAATAACAACAGCCGATGTCAACCACGCTTGATCTGCCCGGTAGTTGCTGTTACGAGGAGAATAGGCCCCAACTGTCTCTTGGGTAGCGTTTCGCGAGGGCCAAAACCAGGCAGGGAGCATCTAGGCTGTAGCAAGGCAAAGGGCAGCCAGAAGGAAACAAAAAAAAAATTATATTAACAACGTAGGTACAGAAGGTGAATGAGCAAGCCTCGGACGCTAGATGCACTGGCCTTTTACAGGTGCCTAGATGCTGAAGGAGGAGGGGGCAGCACCGCCATTGAGGCGCACATCTCTATGAAGGACGCACCCAGTGTCCTTGCGAAGGCCGCCAGCACGCGCATAACACTGCGAAGCGTCGGCGTCGTCTGCGTAGTGTTGGCTTCTCCGCATGGCCATCGAACCACCTATGACCACGTGGTGGCGCTCGGAGAATAGGGGCTCTGCACTCCTGCAGGCAGAGGGAGCGGCGCTTGGAAAACAAAGGCGCAACTCTGCTATGGTGGCTACAAATGGGAGGTGATGCCAGCGTCCGCATATTCGCCGAGCGCGTGATCCTCCTTTTCAAGCGTTGCCGCGACGGCCACTACAGTGCTGCTGTTGGCATAGTGATGCGGGCGAAGCGCGTGCTCTGCGTTCTCTTGTCGGCTCGCCTCTGGGCTCGCCGGTTCCCCTCTGAAAGTGTGTCTGGGCGTGTGCAGTTTCCCGCATTGTTGTCTCGCTTTGGGCAAAATGTATTTAGTTGCTGACACGACAGTGTGAGTGTCGAGCTTATGATGAACTCCAGCACTACGAAAGCGAGGCAATGCCACTGCTTCGCTCCTGGCTGCACGAGCGGCTATGTGTCATCGAGGGAGCAAGGTCAGCGTGCTTCTCTCTTCTCTGTTTCCAAAGACCCTGCCTTCTTCGAAGCCTGGAGACGAGCCGTACCCAGTGCCTACAAGTCGTTGGACACGAAGTCAGCGCTCTGTGAGCTTCATTTCGACGAGCAGTTTTTTGAGCGTTTTTACGCGCACGTGATAAATGGCGAAACTGTTCAGATTCCCCGAGGGAAAGCGGTGCTGAAATCTGACACGGTGCCAACCATATTCCCAAATGTTCCTGCGTATCTTTCAAAGAAAGTGCCAAAGAAAAGGACGTCAAGAACATCCACTTGCGACCTGCCATCGAAAATTCGATGTCAGGAACCAAGCACGTCTGCTTGCAAGGAGACAGCTGGCTCGTACAGCACAGAAAGCGACAGTCAACAAGTACCTGTTCCGAATGTGCCTGCGATTCCTGACGTCCGCAAGCATGGTCTTCCCAGCGCTTACTGGGCTCGACATCTAATTGCTGGAGCCGACAATGCCACGGTGTTTACAGTGTGCGCACTAGATAGTGACAAGGTGACTTTTGACAAGTATGTGCTAATGACATCAAATGAAAACAGACTTCGAGCGACAGCTTTTGTGCAAGCCACCAAAATAAAGACCCTTGACATTACCGACATCGAAATGGCAGAAGAGTTGCTTCGCGACATTGACTCCATGATACCATGCAGAGGGTTTGGTAAAGCTTGCGAATTCAGAGTGAACTTAAAGTACAAGGAGAAGACTTGATGACAGAACCTTCAGTCTATCTTGCCGTGGGGTTGCTCCGACGCCAGAAAAAGCCTGCCCACAATGCAAGCACCTCCGAAGACTGCTCCTGAATCGAAAGTCCTACAGGCAAAGTGAAGGCAAAAATGTGGCCCAGTCCCAAAAGCTTTCATACAGGCTAAAGCTGCGAACAGCGCAAGCGAAAAGGAGTCGCCTGAGTGTCCTGCAGACTAAATCACTCATCAAACAAATGAAAGAAAAGAATGCACAGAATTACTCTGCAGCATTTGAAGAAGCGGTGAAGGCCTTACCCATTACCCACAGCAGCCTCGTGTCTTGGTCCTCCCACACGTTGGTGATCTGCGCCGCAGATGACTCTGGTCGACATCGCACGCAGCGCCCCCATGCCGATCGTCTACTTAAGGGGTCATCGTCAGTGAGCCATCGGGATTTGCAGCAGAGAGCCCAGCTCACACCGCTATTTCTATGCTTTTAGGTGAGTGTACAGCCTAGCGCTTTATTTAACACTTCCAAACTTTTTGCTGCAAATCCCAAGTGAAGTGTAGTGAATGATGGGTTGTGATCTGTCTGCGTACCGTGCGAGGAATGGTTGTTTCTTGGCTCGCCGTAAATTGAACACGTCATGTTCCCCAGTATGGTTACGGCCTGCCTTACTCACTGATTGTTGTCGTTCCGGAGGACGGTGTTTCTTGGTGCTGTTCTGTGTCGCCCATTTGATAATCTGCACGGGAGATGTTGAGACCAATCCTGGTCCAGACAAAATAGACCTAGTTATTTCCTTCCTAAAAAAACTATCACAGTCAAATGAAAAATTTCACAAGGAGACGTCAATAAAGCTGAAGGACATTCACACGAACGTTACCGACATTAGAAGGCGGCTCAGTGAAGTGGAAGGCAAACTAAGCGCAATCGACAGCCTGCGTCAGGATGTCACCAGTGTTAACAAAGCCGTTCAAGAATTCCAGGTACAACTGCAGACCATTAAGACTAAACAATCAGAACAAACCGAATTTGTAGTTGACGACTTAAATAACCGAATGCGAAGAAACAACCTGATTTTCAAGGGCATTCCTGAGGAACCAGATAAAAAATGGGCAGATACGGAACATTTGATTACTGAATTCATGTCCGCTCATTTAGGCATTCAGGAGAAATCGAGCGAGCGCACAGAGTGGGCCGGCCCAAACCAGAACAAAGTCGCCCAATTGTGATAAAATTCCAGAACTACAAAGATAAAAACAACATTCTAAGGGACGCTTCTAAGCTAAAGAAGTTAAAAGAACCTCACGTATGGATTGAGGAAGACTTCTCGCGACGATTATAAGTTGTCAGAAAAAAACTGCGGGACTTCGCTCGAGAAAACCGCACCCAAGATCAGAAGTACAGGGTTGTAAACTGCTTCTCGGAAACAAGTGTTATTCATTCGACTCGGCAAAAAATGAGATAGTCTGTCTTCCAAGGAACGAAGAATCTACGTCAAGCATGCCACCTTCACACAGAGTGGCTAATCCAGAAGGGGAATA